AGCGTCCGGTCAAAAGCTCTAATATATTGCATTATTGATGGGGTCTTGTTTCGCAGAAGCCTCACATTTTCGTACCTTAGGTGCCTTGAGCCTTCGGAATCCTCCCAAGCCCTAGAGGAAGTTCATGAAGGGGTATGCGAGAACCATCAAGGAGCTCGGGCATTAGCCTTCAAACTCATAAGGTACGGATATTACTGGCTTACTATGAAGAAGGATGCCGTGGAATATGTGAAGAAATGTGGTAAGTGCCAGAGGTTTGGTAACGTTATCCGCTCTCCTGCAAAGGACCTCACCAACATCAGTTGCTCAGCCCCGTTTGAGCAATGGGGGATCGATATCCTCTGCCCATTTCTGATAACTAGAGGACAATTGAAGTTTGTAGTTGTAGCAGTTGAGTACTTTACGAAGTGGGTTGAGGCCGAGCCCTTGGCAACGATCTCAGAACCTAAGATAAGAGCTTTTGTTTGGAAGTCCATCATATACAGGTTCGGGATACCAAAGGTCCTTATAACTGATAATGGCCAGCAGTTTAACAACATACAATTCAAGGATTTATGTTCCAATCTAGGGGTTGACCACCGCCTGATGTCAGTTTCTCATGCCTAAAGTAATGGCCTAGTCGAGGTCACCAATCGGATTATATTACAAGACCTCCGAACAAGGATTGGAGATGCAAGAGGTTCTTGGTCTGACGAGTTGCCCTCCATACTTTGGACTTACAGAACATCACACAAGATTGCCACTGGGGAGACCCCTTCATGTGAGCTTTCGGAATCGAAGCTACCATTCCCATTGAAGTCAGATTGCCCAGCCAAAGAAGACTTGATCCCGAAGTAGCAAGGCACATTACTAAACTTCTTGACCTCTTGGAAAAAGTTCATGATCAGGCAGCTTTAAGAATGACCTCCTACCAAGACAGAACCGCAAGGTATTTCAATAGAAAGGTAAGGTCGTGAAGATTCAGAGCTGGAGATTTGGTATTGAGAAGGGCTGAAGCCGCTAGTCATGCTCCAGGGAAACTTGGACCAGTCTAGAAAGGGCTCTTTGAAGTCATACGACAGCTCCTAAGGGGTGAATACAGTCTAAAGGATACTTCGGGAAAACTACTCCTGAGACCGTGGAATGCCTAAAACTTAAAGGTATATTACAAGTAACTTGCTCCACCATGTTTCAGAAATAAGGCCTACCTATTAAAGTTAATTTTTATCATTAATAAGGCCTACGTGCCAAAGTTAATTTTTATCATTAATAAGGCCTGCGTGCCAAGTCTAATTTTTACCATTTGTCTGGCCTACGTGCCAATTCTATTTTAATTTGTCAGCCTGTGTGCCAAGTTCATTTATAGAGTACATTACAGTGAAATTTGACAATATATCACACTGCAACATAAAACTTTGCCTCGCACAAGCACTAAAAAGCCTTGCCCTGAGCAAGCACCTCAAAGCCTTATCCCGCACAAGCACCTCAAAGTCTTGCCCCGCGCAAGCACCCTTTTTACCCTTGCCCCGAGCAAGTATCTCAAAGCCTTGCCCCACTCAATCACCTATAAACATCAAGTCCAAGTAAGCTCCCGACCACATGACACCTCGAGTACCTTAGACCCAAAAACTCGTAAAAATACCTACGAATAGCTCGAGAATTAATGCTCTAATAGCTTGGGATTTCACAATCTCAAAGGTCGGGAAGGGACACAGTGCCCAGTTGAACGTTGTGCGTATGTTTGCCTTGCTCAATTTTCACAATCGGGATTATCTCCTCCCTAGAAGTCGAGATTAAAAGTTCCATCCTTGGCGTCGAAATTAATAATGAATCTTTGTCATCAGGATATTCATATCTTAGATGTTGAGATTAAAAATTCATTCTGGGTGCTGAGATTAACAATGAATAAGGTCACTGGGATATTAATATCTTAGACATCGAGATTAAAACTTCGTCTTAGGCATCAAGATTAAAAATAAATCTTTGTCATCGGGATATTAATATCTTAGACGTCGAGATTAAAACTTCGTCTTAGGTGTCAAGATTAAAAATAAATCTTTGTCTTCTGGATATTAATATCTTAGACGTCAAGATTAAAACTTCATTTTGGGCATCGAGATTAACAATGAATAAAGTCGCCGGGATATTAATATCTTAGACGTCGAGATTAAAACTTCGTCTTAGGCGTCAAGATTTAATGAATCTTTGTCATCGGATATTAATATCTTAGAAGTTGAGGTTGGTCGTCGAGATTAACAATGAATCTTTATCGTCGAGATATTAATTAACTATCTTGGTGGTTGAGATTATTAACCAACACTAGTCATCGTCATCATCAATACTAGAAAACATATCGATAACACAAAACATGAATTCACTATGCTCAGGCAAAACACTTGAATTTGTAAAATTAGATGACAAAAGCTCAAAAAAGTATGCTCGAGAAATCTAGTCATCATCAACTCGGTTCGTCTTGCCTTCCTCAAGTCCTCACCATCAATATCGACCTCCTGGTCGTCGGTGGCATCCTCAGACTCTGAAAGCTTGAGGTCTTTAGCAACTTCTGGGATGTTCTTCAAGTCCTCGGGCTTAGCATCAGGCTTCGAATGCAAGAATGCCCGAGCCTCTTTTAAAGTATGGAAGTACGAGCCCATGACGTATTTTCCCTTCAGCCCATTGAACTCTTTAGAAGTTTTGAAATCCTCAATTGCGATGCCTCGAGCTTCGGTCAGGCGAGCTTCAAAATCCCTCTTCAAACGCTCGATCTCAAGCTTTAAATCCTCGGCCTCGCTCTTGGCTATTCCAGCCTCTTCCCGGGCCCTCTAAACGTCATTCTTGGCGTCATCGCGTTCCTTCTGAAGAAGAAAGCGCTCAGCCTCCATGTCAACTATTTTCTTCTCATGTGCTCGAGCAGAATTCTCGAGCTCAGTAGTTTTTTGGGCCTCATCTTTCCCCTTCAGAGAGAGGCCTCAGGCAATACTCAACGTCTACAGTATTAAAAAGTCGAGTTTAATGATCGAGCCATAGAAATTAAAACATAATGCAAGTAAAATGAACGACTTACCTTCAGCGTAAGAGACTCAAGAGCTTTCATGCCCTCGTCGAAGTCGAGCTCCATTCGATACTTATCCACAATGCTCGACAACAAAGGGCACCAGTCAGAATCTCAATCTTGAAAGGAAGGCGCAGAAAAGGCTTCGTCCTTGAGGTCAACAACCTCGAGAGTACTTCTTGACCGAGGATTTGATCGAGGAATAGCAAGAGGAACATGCTCATCACCCACTGCACTGATGGTCGAGGATTGTCCCCGGGCAGAAGGCTTGCCTGGCCCACTCCTAACATTCTCGGGCCCTAAATCACGAGCTCTCTTTTTTCTTGTTTTCTGACCTGGGGCTCGAGCTTGAGGGGCCCTTGACTTCTTATTCACGGCCTGTTGAAGAGCTGAAGGATCGAAAGTCATCTTTGCAAAGACAAGTCATTAGCATGAGCATGATTATTCATTCAAAGACAGATCGATGAGGAGAAGGCAAAAGTATGATCCCTACCCTCAGTGCCTTTCACATCCACAAGATCGAGAACGTCATCTCCCAGGATGTCATCTATATCATAAACAAGAGGCTCAAGGTTCTCTAACATCTCCCTATGCCTTTCTAAAGACTTAAAATAGGCCCGGCCTTCACAAAACCTGGCCGTGTCGGGCAAAACCCACCCAGGACTAACAGGAAAGTCAGAATCCTGAGGTATGACATAAAACCACTTTTCTTTCCACCCCTTTAATGAACTGGGCATCCTCGGTATCCTGAAACCTTCTCGAGAGGAAAGATAGGCAAAACAAGTATATTGAGGTAGCTGTTTCAAATCGAAGACCATTCTACAAAGGTCGATGTATGGGTTAATACCTAGGTATCTACAGGCTATAAAAAAAATAGGTAAGCATCCTCCACCTATTTGGCACGAGCTGTCTAGGGCTCGTGTTGTGCTCGACCAATAAAGCCACAAAGAAGGGGTGCAAGGGCCATCTAAATCCACCCTTTAGCGAGCCTCTAAAAATTACAAACTCTCCATCCTGAGCAATGGCCAACCTATCCTCTCCCCCTAGCGTCCTAATATCACACTTGGCCATGGGTATGATCGAGCGCCCCCCGTCCTCGGGAGTATTCCTCAAGAAAGAGGATGAAGACTCACTACTACTACTAGACATACTGACCTAGGTAAAAAAGTGTCTAAAGAATAACTTAAGATATCGAGGTCTTACCTTAAAGTCGACGCCTAAAAA